AACCTCAGGGCTTAAAGAAATGACTTGAAAACAGGTGTCAGTGATATCAGATTCAAATCTAAGTAAAAATTGAGCTATAGAGCTCTGAGTTGTTAGGTGTACAACCTAACTTTTCTGAGCCTAAATTTGTTTGGCTGTAAAAATGAGATTAAATATTTCTACCAATGAGTGTTGTTGTGAGAAGCAGAATAAGAGATATAATTCCTATCATTTTGTATTGTTATTATTGCTTGTCACTCATTCATTTAATAAAAATGTATTTGCTGCCAGTTTGTTTCAAGAATAATTTTAAGCTTTGAGGATAAAGCAGTGAACAAAAGAGACCAAAGGCCTGCCCACATGAAGCTTATCTCTAGCAGTGGAGACAGACACGGATAAGATATAGATAAATGATTGTTTCAGATAGTTCTAAGTCATATAAATAAAACAAATTAAAGAATTGTTTTTGTCTGTCTAGTATTTAGACGGGGGCTCAGGGAAAGCATTTCAGATAAAGTGAGGTAGAGAACCACGTAGATATGAGGGGAAAGAGTATTTTTGGTAGAGGGAATGGTGACAAGGAACCAAGGTGGGAACATTCAGGATATATATGAGGATCATAATTGGAGGTTGGAGAGGACTGAGGGATAGGAGCTGAGGTCACAACATTATCAGAGATCCATATGGTATAAAACTTCAGGTCATTTTAAGAACTTTGGATTTGACTCTGAGTTAGATAGGAAGATATTGGATGATGTTGAACAGAGATGTGCGTTCATTTAACTCACAAGTTGAACATCACTCTGCCTGCTACATGGGAAAGAGACTGAAATGGGAGGCAGCAAGAGTGAAAGAAAGAGATTAAGGAGGCTCTGCTTTAGGAGACCATGCTGCTTTGACTTGGGAGCTCATGATGGAATTGGAGAAATACATATATATGTTGGAATATATATATATATATATAAAATAGTTGAAATTGTGATACATATGTATTTGTTATTAAACACTAAATTACATTGCATGACATAATAAACACACAAACACACACACACACATGCGCACACTCCTTGAACCAGAAAAGATTCTATTTGTATTGACGCAGAAGTAAAGCTCTAAGAAAATGCTTCATCTTTCCGTTTTCCTCATATGGCATTGTATTTCCCACTGGCATCATTCCTCATACATGGGTACTCCCACTCCAGTATCAGAAGCATAATTGAACTCTCTAAGCTTTCTTTGTGTTATTTGTAAAATGCTCAGCTTTGCTTTTTAGGTGAGAGTGAATCTAATAAGGGAGTTGGAAACGTTTTGAAAACTGTAAAAGTGTCCCCAGTTGTCAGATACAATCAATATATTATAACCAATTACATTATATTATGCTTTATGATTACATAAATGTTAATTTGTGATTTTTGTGGTCTTTATCACCTACTAACATCTCCATTTCTACTTACTTCAATCTGTTGTTTCTTTTTCAGTATATGGCTGTATATGAAAAAGAATGTCGTTTGAGCTCTAATGTACTTCTTCTACCTCAGGAGAATGTGTTGTGGGGCAGGCTGTAGGTATATCTGTTGAGGGAGCCCTCTCCAAACCCAGAATAACTATGACATTGCATTATGACATAACAGATCACAGATGGGATAGTGTTATTATCTTTCATGCATATGAGTATGTTGGAAAATATGTTTCTTCATTGTTTCATAGCTTGCCAGTAGCAGTAGACTTTTTTTTTTCCTTTTGGTTTTTCTTTTCTTTTTTTGGTCTAGTGGGTGGTGCTATACAACTTTTATAATTATCCCCTCTGTGTTTGTTACAGCCTCTGCCAATTTATATCATTTTCTTTGTTCTTGTTGTCATGCTCTTCTAACTTTTTCACTTGTTTGTTTTGTTTTGACCCCTAAATTCCACCAAGTTTCCCAATGTGATGCATATTGCATGTTAAAATGATTTCTATGATCCAGTCAGAAGACCATTACATTTGAACTTTTTCTACAAGTGGTGATAGATTCTTTTTTGCATCTTCTGAACAATTTGGCCAGCCCTATTTATAGTTAATGAAAAATTTATGAAACCCTAGCTAAGACAGATAAATGTCATAAAACATTTTTTATTGCCTTTGTTTATATCATAAACCTATTTAATAAGGAGAATAAATTAACATGTTAGATGATGTTACTTTTTGAAAAAATGGCAAACTTTCCCTAGAGCAATTCAGTTGTCATGACATTTCTATTTTTAGGATGCTATCTTTTGATAATCTCTTCATACTTTGCATCTAGTTTTTCTTTCCTCATGGAAAAGAAACTATTCAGACTGTCGTTGAAATATCTGAAACACATTTACATTGTTTTATTTTAGAATAGCACAATTGAGACATAATTCACATACCATAGAGTTCACAATTTAAAGTATTCAATTCAGTGGTTTTTAGTATATTTACAGAGTTGTATAAACATCACCAAAGTCAATTTAAAATATTTGGGGTGATTGTCATCATCGCAAAAAGGAACTTCATGTCCTTTAACAGTTACTCTCCGTTTCTCCCCAGTATCAGGCAAGCACTAATCTACCTTCTGTTTCTATAGATTTGGCTCTTCTGGACATTTCTTATAAATGAAATAATATATGGTCTTTTGTGATAGCTTCTTTCACTTAGTACAAAGTTTTGAGATTCATCCACGTTGTAGCAAATATCAATACTTCCTTTTTATTGCCAGATACTATTCTATTGTGTGGATATGTGACATTGTATTTATTCATTCATAAATTGATGGATATCTGGGAATTTACCCCTTTTTTGCTATTATGAATAATGTCACCATATGTATTTATATCCAAGTTTTCATGTGGACATACATTTTCATTCCTCTTAGGTATATACCTAGAGGTAGAATTGCTGGATCAAATGTTAACTCTATGTTAACTCAAATGTTAACCTTAGGATGAATTTCTAGATAGTTTTGCAAAGTGGCTGCACCATTTTGTATTCCCACCAGCAATATGAGGAATAGACTTTCTCCGCATCTTAACCAACACTTGTTATTATCTGTCTTTTTAATTTTAGTCAATCTCATGAATATGAAATAGTATCTTGTTGTGGTTTTGATTTGCATTTCCCTAATGGCTAATGACGTTGGA